CGTCGTTGGTTGAAAAAATGACACTATAGATTAACCCTATTATGACATTTGTATAAAAACGCCGCTAAAGCACTACTTTATTGCGGCGTTTGTTAAAAAAACGTGACTATAGATGAACCTTATTGCGGCATTTTTATACAAACACCGCTAAAGTACTACTATGTTGCAGTGTTTGTTGAAAAAGCCACTATAGATGAACCCTATTGCGGCATTTTGTATAAAAATGATGCCAAAGTATTACTCTGTTGCGGCGTTTGTTAAAAAAATGTCACTATAAATGAACCCCATTGCGGCGTTTATGTAAAAACACCTCTAAAGTTACCTTTTTTAGCATTTGGAATGCAAACGCTGCTATATTTTTAAAGTTAGTAGTGTTTATTCTCAAAAAGCCGTTGTAGAACAATTTTATTTTAGTGGTTAAATGATAGGTTTATTTTGTTATTATGTCATTTTCTCATAACCCATCATGACAGAATTCTTAGTTAAGAATAATATTATTCACTAGACCGAGAGAATTACAATACTTCTGCAATAATAAATCTAGAAAGACTGCTAATATGAAATGTGATAAAACGACCATGATAATGTGACAACTTGATTTTGGGTACTGTAAAACAAAGCGATGACATGAGGTATGTTAAACTTTGGACTTGGACTAATTGTAAACTTCGATAAGTAATTAAAGATTAAAAGAGTGAATGAATAATAATTATAAGTTCATAATATGCTAACATGCTCATTTTTATAAAATTCATGAAATATAGTAGAGTAGATGTATATCATTGAGTTTTGTTAGCTCAATGTTTAAATTTATCTGTTCATGAGTTACAAGTTCCCTGGATTGCAATGAGACAACGATATCATTGCATGAGTCTCAGTGGGAGTACGAGATTATATTGTTGATGACATAAGTGTTCATGTAGAGGTTAAGATTTTTAATTGAGTCATTTTGTAAAAAAAATATTTATGTATTTGGTTTTCAAATAAATGAACTATGCTTTTGTAATTTTTATATTTTTCATATCTTTTATAATTTGTTTTAAAAATTTTGAGTAAGTCGTGAAGTGTGGGATGACTTCGGTGATCTAATGTAACACTCACAAACGCGACGGTATATAAAGGTCATATTTGAGGGAGTTACAAATATTTATATTTAAATTAAATTAATATGTATTTAATAATAAATTATTTTACAAAACCCCACTAAATTGAGCTCGAGATTAAAAAATCTATCTATAACTTAAATCAAGTTTCATGTAAAAACATGAATTGTTATATAGACACAACAAATATAAAGAAAAATAACTTTTAATAAAAATTAATTTACTAAGATTAAATTCATTATGTCACTTAATTTTTATTCTTCATACCTAAAAGGATAGAAAGTAAATAATTGTATTATAATAGATTATGGAAGATTATAACACTTAAACATTTGCACAAAGTAGTGTTGTAATTGACTTGAAGAATGTTTTAGTATCTAAGTCTTAACTATAAATATTTTAATTCTTTAGATAATTTGATTAGTATATCTAATTGAAATGTTAAATATTAAACAAATAAATTATACAACCGTGAATGCATTATTAAAGAAGTTGTAAAATAAAAAAATTCCTATCACTGTGTGGTTGACCCTAGGAGAAGAGGGAGTTAAGTGGTTGACCGATATCTTTAATATTATTTTAGAGACTACCAAGATGCCAGAGGAGTGGAGAGAGTCTACAGTAATACCAATCTTTAAGAATAAAGGAGATCCCCAACGTTGCGGTAACTACAGAGGTATTAAACTACTCAGTCATACCATGAAGCTATAGGAAAGGGTGATAGAGGCTAGGTTGAGATAGGTTACTAGGGTTTTGCAAAACCAATTTGGATTTATGACAGGCAGATCTACTACGGAGGCGATTCATCTACTTCGAAGGCTTATGGAGAAATATAGGAAAACAAATAGAGATCTTCACATGGAGTTCATTGACCATGGAAAGGCGTATGATAGCGTACCCCGTGATACGATCTGGAAGACCTTGGAAACGAGACGGATCCCAACTGCTTATATACGGGTGATTCGTGATATGTACTATAGATCTACTACATGCGTCAGGGCTACAGTTGGCGACATCGAGGCATTCCCGGTGGAAATCAGACTCCACTAGGGTCGGCTCTTAGCCCTTACATCTTCGCCTTGATTATGGACGACATCTATTGTGCGACACCAGATGGTGTTCCATGGTGTATGCTTTTCGCTGACGACATTGTCCTAGTTGCTGAAACAAAACATGAGTTGAATAGTAGATTGGCTACCTGGAAGACTACTTTGGAAGAAAAAAGTCTAAGGATCAATATTGAAAAGACAGAGTATTTATGTTCAAACTATAGTGGCAACCAAAACAATGAAGACGTAGAAGTATCCATCGAAGGGCACGTTCTCCCCTCAAAGGATTGTTTCAAGTACCTAGGGTCTATGATACATAAAGATGGGGGTGTAGATGATGACGTTACACACCGTATAAAGGCGGGATGGCTAAAGTGGAGGGCTGCAACTGGAGTTTTGTGTGACAAGAAGGTGCCTCTAAAATTTAAGGGAAAATTTTATAGAATGGCAATAAGACCAGTTTTGTTGTATGGATCAGAATGTTGGGCAATTAAGAAGGATCGCGTAAGGAGGATGGAGGCATCAGAAATGAGAATGCTTCGATACGCATGTGGTAGGACTCTTTGGGACATGACACCAAACTCTGCAATTAGGATATCCTTGGGGGTGTTGCCTGTAACCGAAAAGTTGAGGGAGGGAAGACTACAGTGGTTTGGGCATGTCCTTAGGCGATAACCTTCGGATGCGGTCAAGAGGGTAGAGTCGATTACTCTCGACGGTGCCAGAAGGAGAGGACGACCAAGGAGGAAGTGGGTAGACTGCTTGAGATCTAATTTGAAGGATTTAGCCCTTATCGAGGACATGACCTCTGACAGGAAAGTTTGGAGACTTAAGACCAGGGTAGCCGAGTAGTGTGGGTCACAGCCATAGAGTGTTGCCTTAGTTTAGGTTTTAACCCATTTGACTTTATTCCTTCTTGTAGCTTGATATCGCTGACTACTGTGTATCCTTCTCTACATGTTTCCTCTTTTCAAATTTAGCCCGGACTTACGTTTTTGTCTATATGCATAGATTTTTACGCAGTGATTTATTTGCAGGGATTACTTCCCACTACAGACACGCATATGAAGACTGTTCAACTATGTATTTATTTATTTATTTATACATGCATTTTATTTTATCTTTATTTTTTTAATCTTCTGACTGCCGGAGGTCTTCCACGGAAGCTGCTCTCAACTTGGCGTTGGGGGCAGCCTACTACCCTACCTCTCACTTATCTCATTACATATATGAATAGGGTTTGTTGTTGTTGTTGTTGTTGTAAAATAAAAAAATATAAATTTTCAATCGATTATAGAATAAAGGACTAACTTTAAAACTTAAATTTATATAAAGGAAATTAAGTTTTAAAACAATTTGTATAATAGTCATTCACTTTTTTATTTTCTAACATTCAAATTTTGTATAAAATTATGCATTTAAACATTTATAATATCAAAATATTTAATTTTAATTTCTATAAACATAATTTGTGTTTTAATAATAAATTTCAGAAAAACATGATTAAGTAAATATAAAACTAATAAAGATTATTTGAGAAAAAAAATTTAGAAGAATATTTTTTATCTCTCGAATATCACGTCGATAAGAAAAAAGATTACATTTTAATTGCGCATATATAAACTAACGACGATAGTTTTTGCGTAAACTACATATTTAGTATCTAAAGTATTATTTTTATTCCATTTTAATACTTAATTTTTATTTTTTTCAAAATCATATTTAATGTTTACTTTTTTATCATTTTAGTACATGATGTTTACTTTTTGTTTCATTTTAGTACCCATTGTTAACTTTTTATTTCGTTTTAGTACCTAAATATTTAACGGTGGGGTATTAAAATGAAACAGAAAATAAACTTTAGGTATAGTTTTGAAAAAATTAAAAGTTTAGGTACTAAAATGGAAAAATTGATAGTTTAAGTATTAAACATTTAGTTTACCCTATTTTTTATTGTTTATGGAGCCAAATTATTACATCGATCCCTGTGATTTTATTTATTTATTTTTAATTTTATAAAAACGTAGTTGATAATATGAACTTTACATGGTCATTTGTCACGTGGGCAAAAAACGATAGTGGTACGAAATGCCTTTAAAAGATGCGTCTGACGTAGAGAGCTTTCCTATGTAGCACAAAACTATACCAACCCAGAAAATAAATTGAAAAATGATATTTTTTATATTAACCCTTTTTTTAAAACGATATAAAAAGATCATTAAACCGTAAGTTAATAATTCCTGGTTGAATTAAATCGGTTATTGATAGTTTAATATTTTTGATTTAACTGATTGAAGATACAAGTATAGAGGAATTTTAAGGAGAATTCTCCAAAAATAGAAGTCTAAGCTCATGGCTGTGATTGAGATTTAATAATGACTCTCTTTGTATATTTATATCAAGATATAAAGTTACGGTTATTACATATAAGTCAACAAATTGTATAAATACCACCCAGAGGTGCATGGATCTTAAACACCGACGGAACAAAGAAAGCATTCACATGATAAGCATCGGTAGGAGGGCTAATAATGGATGAAAATGACGAGTGGGTTGGAGGATTTATGATAAGAGTGGAGGAAACAAGCCGTGCCCTGACAGAGTTACGAGGGATTGAGACTTGGAGAAACCTTACGCGCAAGTAATCTTATCATTGAGATAGACACGAAATGGGCGATAGAAGCAATAGAAGAGGACGAGATCAAGGAACGCCCAGGAGGAATGCTACTGAAGAAGTGCGATTCGATCCGAAAAGAAGGTTGGATAAGAGAAATAAGACACATCCGATTAGAAGCAAACAAATACGACGATCGCATGGCGAGATTAGCAAGGGAACAAAAATACAAGGTCAGTATTCTGGCAGACCCCCAGAAAAGTTGATCCCTATGCTCATGGCTGACGCCGGAGGGGAGGCCACTCTCAGGATATAAACTTCTCCTACAGCATACAGGAGATCAACTTAATGTACCCAAAAAAAGTGTATAAATACAACTGCCTTAGTCCTGATAAATCTTTTAGGTTTATCGAATATTTTGTCAATGATTCTTGGCCTCTAATGAATCTTTCCGGAGGTAATCTTAATATATTGATGAAAAATACTATACTTTAGGAATAAAATTACTTTTCCATAGATATAATAACAATTAAAAATATCCTTAAAATGTCTTTAACTAAAAATTTTAATGAATGTAAATCACATGATTCATAATCATTTTCGCATTCAAAAATAATTATATTCATTTTTTCAAGAAGTCCTATAATATGATATCAATACATATTCAAAATAACTGAAACTACTCCATTTACCATTCAGAATGCCTTATAAATTTTCACTACATCAATTTAATTCCAGATACATTATAAGAAAAACCCTCCTCCCAAAATTAGGTGTACTAAAAATACAGGAAGTATCAAACTGGAAATACCTTGAAAAGTCACCAAACTATAACTTAAAATATAAGGGGGGAAAATAAAGGGAATATTTGAAAATATTACACGAGAAGCAACAGTCGCACTCATATATCAACTTTACTCTCTTCACTTCAATTTCTTTACCTTCTTTGATTTTCTTTTCTCCATTTTTTATTTTTATTTTTTTCATTTTTAGTTATTAAATAATTTCAGGAGAAAAAAAAAGGTAAGAGATAATTTACGTAGATAGTGGGTGGGATGATCTTGATCAATCCATTGACTTTGACTCCAATACGTTTGGTCAACCTCGTTAGGAAGATCAAACAGCTGTTGATCTACACTGTCTTGCCAATCCAACGGTCCAAATCCACTCTCCGGCTTACCATGCAATTTTGAAAGCTCAACTTGCATCGTATGATCAAGCAATCCTTCCGTGATTTCCTCAATCTTTTGCTGCTGCCACTGTCCTTGCCCATTAAATAACGTACTGAACCGAAACGATGGCGTTTCATTATTATACGGAGTAACCAAGCTCGAAAACTTCCCAATTTTCGGAAAAATCCCAGACTGCGATCCTGGTTCGTAGGATAACTTATTAGGGTTTCCGTGCAGCTTCGGCTCGCTTGCTTTTACCTTATTTGGATGAGATTTTACCTTTGATGGTTTATGGGAGAAGAAGAGTCACGTTAGCACCATTACCCTCAAACCAAGTGCTTCAAGATCAATCATCTAAAAGAAAGCTTTGAAGCTATGAAAGAAAAAACGTTTGGAGTTGAAAATGAAAATAAAAGTGAAACTTTGTGTGAGAAAATCATTGTAGTGATTGAAAATGAAAATGAGAGCATTAAAAAGATTGAAAGTGAAGATAAGCATATTGAAAAATGTGTGTGATAGTGCAATTCAAAAAGAACAAAAGTGTAAAGTTAGAATTCGAGGGAAGTGAGAGATTGAAGAGAATTTAAAACAAACTTGAGGGTAGAAAGAAAAATGTGAGGAGAAGGATGTTTTGCTTTCTACTAATCCATCTTTTCCTTCTATTCGTTCTTTTGATTTACAGGTTATTCCAAGTGACATACAAAATGATTCAAGCATCATATCTTTTGAAATTCCAAAAGATGTGCCATTTGAAATTTTAAGGGAAATATTCATTAACTTTCAAAGTACATTCACTTCATATTCCAGATTCCATGAACTTTATGAAAGGGAAGATCCAATGAACCTAACAATGGAGAATCTCAAGAGTCAAATTTTATTCATTACTGAATTTGATCATTTTAACTTCTTTGATTTATAGTTATCTACTTTTAGCTTTTCTTTAATTTTCCGATTGATGATTTAAAGATATATGATTGAATGTGTGAAGTATTTAAAGCATAGAAAAAGATGCAAGATGTGAATGAAAGATTCCTTACCCAACGAAGTTCAAAGTTGTTCCCCCTTATAACAAACATCAATTTGGGGACAAGCAGCCTCAAAAAAGGGAGGTTGATATGATCCATTCAATAACAAAATTCAAATAAAACATGCTCACAAATTTAATGTTCTTCAAAGTTGAATCTAAGGGAGTTCTTCCTTATTTTATTGCTTATTTACTCATTTATGCTTTATATGTGTCATAAACATGCTTTGACATTTTAAACTATGCTTGCATACTATATGATATTCATGCGTGTCATGTATTTACTTAGCTTAATTCATGCATTTGTTATGTTTTCACATTGATAATGTTGAAAACATTTTGATATTTCGATATAACAAATTAAGTTAAATGAATTTTAAGATTTTCCTAAAAGATTTTCTAAGTATATTCGATATAATTATTTGAATATCAAAATATTACTCCAAATCTTTCAAATGTCATTTTTAATCCTTACTCAAGTGTAAAATTAAGTTTTAATCTTAAAATAATTTCAAAACAATTTTACAAAATATTTCGAACCATTTCAAAGCCAAAAATTCCAGATTACTCAGAGGGAACCGATTCCCCCCAAGGGGGTACCGATTCCCCATGAATGGTTTAGCTCCGAGAAAAACAGAATGCTCGAAGGGAACCGATTCCCCCTGTTTAACGGTCGAAATATTTTAATTTTACACTTAGGGAACCGATTCCCTATGAGGGGGAACCGATTCCCCCCACGCTCCAAGCAGAAATATTAATTGTTTTCACAGTTAAATGGCTCTAATAACTTCATTAATGATCCCCAACGTTCAGAAGTGATTCAAGGTGTATTTAAACAAGCTTAGAAGCCATTGATCAATAACAAGAAACAACAATCAACTAGAATCAAGATAGAATCAAAGAGAAAGCATCAAACCTCAAGTTTGTGCATTTCAAGCCTATTTCATTCAATATTCATTTTTGCTTTCAAGAACACTTATTGTTCTCAATTGTATTATTCTTAAGTGTTCTTTCTTTGTTCTAGAATTGTGCAAACATCTTGCCTTGTGAGGATTTTTTTGTAAGTTTGCAAAATTTGTATTGTTCTCTTTGGGAGAGAGTGTTCTCAAGAATTTGGGGTATAATTCTTGATGGATTTTTAAGGTTACTATTTGTCCTCAAAAGGAAGACAAATTAGTGAATTTGTGGAAAATCCTTAGTGTGGATAGCTAAGGTAGTGGACATAGACTTTGGTTGAGAAAGTCGAACCACTCTAAATCGTTGCGCAATTACTTTCAATTTTCTGCACAAGCTTCCACCGGAATTTTTATTTGCCAATTCACCCCCCTCTTGGCCATATTCATAGATCGATTAACTCAACAATTGGTATCAGAGCCTAACTCATTTGAAGGTTTAATCACCTCTTGAGTCGATTCGGGAAGAGTTACATCGATTATCAAGTCATCAATGGCCTCCACTTCAAACTTCGACTCCGGTCTCGATTAAATGCCCGTCAACAAGCCTTCTTTCTTCAATGTTGCTAACTATGCCTATTGGAAGAATAAGATAATGTATTTTATTCAAGCAAGTGACATGGGAGCATGGAATGTTGTAGAAGATGGATATATCAAGCCTCTCACTCATCCAAGATTGTGGAGCAAATGAGAGACGAAAATGTTCCAGCTCAACTCCAAAGCCATCCATATTATATTTTGTGCTCTTGGACCAGATGAATATGGAAGAGTTTCATCTTGTACAACCGCCAAAGAAATATGGGATAAACTACAAGTCACTCATGAAGGCACCAACGAGGTAAAAGAATCTAAAATTAGTCTTCTAACACATAGCTATGAAAATTTCAGGATGAAACCAAATGAAGATATCAAAGCTATGATGGATAGATTCTCAACGATTGTCAATGGTCTCAAATCATATGGAGAGATCATTCCAAACGAAAAGCTTATGAGGAAGTTAGTTTACTCACTTCCAAAATCATGGCAATCCAAGAAGACCACAATCATCGAGGCTAAGAACCTAAAGTCTGTAACTCTTGAAGAGCTAATCGGTTCCCTCCTCACTCATGAAATGATGCTTGAAGATGAGGTGGACCTCGATAAGATTGAAGAGACACCAAAGGAGAATGAGAAGAAGAAAAACATTGGAGTTGCTCTCAAATCCACAAAAGAAGAGATTGATTCAGATGAAGATGACGATGACGAGGAAATGGAATTGTTTTCCAAATGGTTCAGAAAAATGATGAGACCTTACCGAGGAAGAAAATTCAAACGAAATGAAGGCCTAAAAAATGAACCAAAAGAGAAGGACTCGATCATTTGCTATGAATGCAAAAAGTCGGGGCATGTCAAATATTATTGCCCACAATTGAAGAGAAAGGGAAGAATAAGCACAAGGCTCATGTGCCTACATGGAGTTATGAAGAAGGTTCCGATGAAGAGGAACAAGAAGTAGCAAACTTGTGCTTAATGGCATTCGGGGAAGATTCTAAGGTAACATCTAACTTTGTTAGAAAAAGTTTTAAAAACTACAATCATAGAGGTCCCCGAAGAACCTCTAATGGAAAAATCGTTAGAAGTATATGGGTTCCTAAAGGACTCATTACTACTAAAGATAAAGATATCCTACACAAATGGATACCTAAGGGGACTAGGATTTGGGAAACTAATGAATATGGACCCAAAAGAATTTGGGTACCAAAAATTAGAAATTAATCTATGTTTGTAGGAAAAGGAGCATTGCTACAAGGCACGAGAAACAAATTCAAATTCGTGGTACCTTGATAGTGGATGCTCGAGACACATGACCATAAACAAAAGCCGGTTCATAGAGCTAAACGCCAAAAATAAAGGAGAAGTGACTTTTGGTGATAATTTAAAAGGTTACATCGAAGGCATATGTACAATAGGTAATACCTCTTCCATACAAATTAGAAATGTTTTATATGTGAATGGATTAAAGCATAATCTTTTGAGCATTAGTCAATTTGTGATATGGGATTCAATGTCATGTTTAAAACTAATGGTCGTAAAGTCATTGACATTTCGTCTAATCGGATTATGTTTGTTGGTCATAGAATAGGAAACATTTACATAGTGCATTTAGACTCTATAGATATGACTAATTTATGCCTAGTTGCTAAGGATGAGCATGATAGTTGGTTATGGCATAGGAGACTAGGTCATGCTAGTATGAGTGTTTTGCAATGGTTAATTCAAGGAGATTTGGTTCGAGGACTGCCTAAACTAAAATTTGATAATGAGAAAATATGTGATGCTTGTGCTAAAGGAAAACAAAAGCGAGTTTCTTTTAAATCCAGTAATGATGTATCAACTAGTAGAGTATTGCATTTGATCCATTTAGATCTTTTTGGGCCATCTAGAACTACTAGCTTGGGTGGAAAACAATATGCATTTGTCTTGGTAGATGACTATTCTAGATATACTTGGGTTCTATTCTTAAGTACTAAAGATGAAGCATTAGAAAAATTCATCGCGTTTTCAAAATTAATCCAAAACGAAAAAGGTTACTCTATAACTAATATTAGGAGTGATCATGGAACTGAATTTGAAAATTTTGGATTTACTGAATTTTGTAATTCTAATGCTATTAGTCATAATTTTTCAGCACCTAAAACCCCTCAACAAAATGGAGTTGTTGAAAGGAAAATCGAACTTTAGAAGAAATGGCTAAAACCATGCTTTGTGAAAACAATTTGCCAAAATATTTTTGGACGGAAGCCACAAATACTGCTTGTTATTTTATTAATCGAGTAATGATTAGGCCTATTTTGAAGAAAACTCCATATGAACTTTTTAAAAATAAAAAGCCTAACATTAGCTATTTTCATCCTTTTGGATGTAAATGTTTTGTTTTAAACAACGGTAAAGACAATCTTGGTAAATTTGATGCTAAAAGTGATTAAGGAATTTTTATGGGTTATTCCCTAAGTTCTAAAGCTTATCGAGTATTTAATAAAAGAACTTTAGTTGTATAAGAGTCTATACATGTTGTTTTCGATGATAATCTCCTTCCGAGGAAGGATTCTTGCTTGAATGATGATGTAGGTATTATAAATACAAATGACGTTAGACATGACGTTGTAGAACCATCATCAAAGGAAGAAACGAAAGATGAGGAAACTCATGATCCTCTCGAGAATCCAACCATTGAAGAAAGGGAAGTATCTTACCCAAGAGAGTACAACTATGTCAAGGATGGTGAAATCATAGGTGATCCATCCAAAGGGGTAACAACTCGGTCTTCTCTTAGAAATATTTTTAATTATTTTGCATTTATCTCATGCATAGAGCCTAAGAATATTAAAGAAGCATTA